GGGGGGGGGGGAGTGTCCACAAACTTCTTTCCAGCTGTCTTGGAGCTCCCCCTAATGGCAGAGAACTGAGATGATGCATCACCTGTGGATGATGGTTTCTAGGTGGGGGGACTTAGAGGGACAAAGACATCCCTGTTCTCCTGCACCCTGGCTCTTAGAGACCATTTAAGTGCATGTTCAAAGTATTTTCTGAGCCACCTGGGACATCAGGCCTCCACCTAGTCGCTCTGGGCCAAGCTTGTCCCCAGTCCCATGAAAGCCAGGAAGGCACGGGGCCCAGCTATAACTGAACTAGAGCTGGTCCAGGAGGAGTCGGGAAATGTGGATCTCACAGGCTGCCAGCCTCCATCAGCCACCTCATCTGTACACTGAGGCTAGTAATAGCCGGGATGGGGTGGACAGAGGGGCTCTGATGCCAAAATGCATGAAGAAAACATACTGTAGGGAGCAGGGTCAGGAAGTCTAATGAAGCATCTTCTGACCCATCCTGAGGCATCCTGGTGCAGCTGACAGAGGATAGGGTCGATGGCTGAGAATGACCCTGCTACCCCACCCCACACCCATTGTTGCCTATAGAGGGTAATACACCGGGGGAGAAGAGGAAAGTCATGGAACTCGAGAATCTGGTCCAAACCCCTTTTAATACAGAGGCAGGAGCTGGTGGTCTAAAAGGGTAAGGGGCTTGGCCACATAGAGAAAAGAGTGGGGATGGGTTGAGGGAGATACTTTCTGCCCCTGAAGAGCCTGGGGAAGGAGGAGTGGGCGAGAAGTTTTGAGTGGACTAGGGGAAGATTGGCATCTTGGATAAGTTGGGCCCTCCCTATCCCCTGGGAATGGGCATGGGGATGTGAGCTCCAGGCTTTCTGATCTGGAGTTGAGCCTTCTGGCTGCTTAGACAGAAGGGTCCCTGATAAAAGAAAGAAGTTAAGGAGACAATGGGAGCGGTGGGGTATGCTGAGGAGGAGTCCAGACTCTGGGTCTGATGCCTCCTCTAGCCATGTGGGCCCCTCAAGAGTCCCGCTTTGGCTGGATGGTCTGCACGGAGGATTGTCCAAAAGGGCTGTCGGGTGGCGAGAACCAAGACTGGCCATTGGCATCACGAAAGATGGGGGAGAGCTGCTGCTCTGACTCATCCCTGAAGACCTCCACATGGCTGTCAGCTTCGGTATCCAAAGGTTCTGCCTTGGTGCCCTGGCTCAGCCAGCCGGTCATGGCCCAGAGCAGGCAGATGGCCAGCAAGACCCCAGCTGCCACACAGAGTACAGTGCCTGCCAGGCGGCAGGTGCCCAGAGCCTGGTTGTAGTCAGCTGCCCGCTGATCCAATACCAGGAACTCGCCCTCTCCAATGCCCTCCAGCTTGGGGGGCACAGCATAGCCAGTGGTCAGGGCTGCCACACCCAGCAGCAGAAGCAGGGTCCCCGAGGACAGGCTGACCTGGAGAGAGGCAGACAGATTGGAAGACAGTCAGGGTGTCGGGGGCCCTAGACCAAGGGATCACCTTGAATCCCAACTGGATTTAAAGGTAACCCCTTAATCCAACCTTAAGAGATGGGAATCACAGAACATACCAGCTAGGATATAACTGATAAGGAGCACACACTGTCATGTTCTATTTGGAATCTTGAGGCCTCTTGATTTCCTTCCCAGCTCCCACCTAGCAGTGGGTTTCTCTTGCCAACCTCAGTCTCCCTCCATTATAATTCAGATCCTATCTTATCCCCCCTGTGCCGTCTACTCTCTATCTTTCTGGTTAACTCCTACACATCCCTCAGATCTCATCTCAAACCTCACCTCCTCAGGGAAGCCTTCCAGGACACCCCTGAACTGGGTCAAGTCACCTGCTCTACACTCTATGCAAATGCTGTGCCCATTCATTCTTCAGTGCACTCACCTCAGTGCACACTAGGATGTGTACTTTGGTTACTATGTAAGTGATGTCTGCCTGTCCCACTGGACTGAGAGCTGAGAGAGCCACGAGAGCAGAGACTATGTCCACTTTGGCTCACTAGGTGTCTTCTATGCCTAGCACAGTACTAGTATAGAGTAGTGGCTGAGTGAATGTTTGCAGAATAACTAAATGAACCACAGCTAGGAGCTCCTTGAGGACAAGAACCATATCTTCTTCAATTCTTTGTCCCCAAGAGCCTAGCACACTGCCTGACTAGAAGATGCTAAAAAATGTAAAACATGTACTGACTTTCTCCTGGAGGTCTTCCCTGACCACCCCAGGCACTGAGAGCATTTTTTCTCCCGGCATCCTCTGCACACCTGGCCTGAGCTGTGCACTTACTCTCCACAGGTTGGCACTTCACTTCTCCACCAGAGTAAAGCCTTTTGAAAGCAGAGACTCTCTGCCTCAGTCTTCCTACAGTGTTTATCAAAGAGCTATGCCCACTGTAGGGACTTGGCTCACAGCCACCTCCATACCTTTACTGACATAGTACACCCTAACTGACCACTCTACCTGGCTGATATGAACATTGATTATTTCTCTTACATCTTCCACTGCCCTGGAAACAGTACCCCAATAAATCACTGGGAAGCACAGTAATATTTAAGTGGGTTGAACCCCTATCCCTGCCAGTCAGCATAAACCATGCCCCTGGACACAGTAATTAGTTCAGGGCTGGGCAAGTGACCCAATCAGAGCCAATGCAGTACTTGCCAGGACTTCTAGAAATAAAAAGCATTGTTTTTTTTCTGAAGGAAATACTAGAGAAAATCCTGATTTCCCTTGGGCGGTGCGGAGTGGAAGACTGAGGGGCAGCATAGTAGCACCCACTTGGGGAACATGTGGGAAGAACCTGAAGCTAATGGGTTGCAGGGGGAAGGGGGCACCATGGGAGGCCTAAAGACTAAGAGAAATCTTGAGTCCTCAGTGTGATGGTTTGAACTGCTGGATCAAATTTTGCCTGAAGGCACACAACCTCTGGTTTCTTCTATAAAATAAGCAACATTTTCCCATTATAGTTGAAACCCATCCAAGTTGGGTTTTCTATTGCTTGAACATGCAAGACTCCTAACGGCTACACCATTCCTTTTCTTTCTGTCCACTGAGGGGATCTCTTCCCTGAAGCCACAGGAAATCACAAGTTGCTCCTCCTCTAGCCTTACCTTCCAGCACAGTGAGGGCCAAGGTCGACGGGGACACAGAACAGGAGGCCCCTCAGGGTCATCGCTGAGGGCAGTACCTGCGCAGTCCTCATAGAAGAGGTGCAAATAGGAGCGGACCCCATACCACTTGCCGTCTTCCACATTGGGGCCCCGGCCACAGCCACACGAACGGTCATAGCTCGGCATCATGGATCCCTGTGGGGTAGGCAAGGTTCAGCAGACAGAGGGAAGGATCAGTGAGAGCTGCCTGTGGTGACCTTCCCAGGCTCCTGAATCTTTGTGTTCCATCCACCTCTCCTGATCAAGACACCCCACACTCATAGCACAGCCTGGCCTTCTGGAATGCTGGCCTGGCTTTCTCGAGTATACTGTGAATGAGCCAATGCAACGAAGTGCTTAGCTCAGTGCCTGGCAATTGTAGGTGTCAATAAAGGTGTGTGTTTGCTCTGGAGGCACTCATGGCTGGGACCATGGGTTCTGGAGCCTCACTGTCTAGACTAGAATCCCTGATCCACTGCTTCCTGGCTGTGTGACCTTAGACAAGTGCTTTCACTTCTCTATGCCTCAGTTTCCTCATCTGTAAAACGGGGCTAATGATTCTACCTGCTCTGTACAGTTATTGTCTTCTGGTGCCAAAAGAAATGGTAGCTGTTGTGATTATTATTACTGTAATTTCTTCATTATTATTTTTATCCTCAACTTTTTGAGCCCCATGTCTGGAGTGAGAGGTCCCCATCTCCCTCTCCTCTCAAAACCCCTTCCCTGCCTTTCAGGGTACTCTTGGAGATGATTGTCCCGGCTGGCAGTTGTCTAGTCAGACAGAGCTCCCCCAGCTGCAAGGCTGTAAAAGATCCCTCCTCAGGGCTGTCACTCACAAAGCAACAACCTCCAAGTCCCAAGGAATCTTGACTCCACAGGAGGTGAAAGTCAGGGGATTTGGGGCCCTTAGGCTCAACAGCTATTAGAATTCTAGAGAAACCTATCTAAAAATCCTTCTTCTCACAAATGGAGACACTGAGGTTTCAGGAATGAAAGATACTAGCGAATCCACACACAGAATCAAAGTCCGGGATGGGGGCAGCGCTGGGGAAGGACAGGGCCCCTCCCCACCTTCATGATGGCCTTCAGCCCCTCTGAGCAGCTTCAGACAAAATAAAGCAATGAGCTTACATGGAAGGGTGAGACAAATTTCCAGTCCCCTCTCATTTCCAATCAGTTGTGGCCCTCAAATTGCTGCGGACTCACCAGCAACCCCTCCCCCAAACAGACACACACATACAGACACACAGACTCAGTGTGTGTTGGGCGTGATTCTTGGAGCCCCCACAGATGCACACAAGTCACAGGAGTGCTGTAGTTAACGACTGTCTATAAACCACAGCTCTTCACAGCCCTTACCCACAATTCAGGCGAAAAAGAGAAAAAGGAAAGAAAGTTGACAGAATGGGAAAAGGCAGAGACTGAACGCAGAGGCTGAGAGGAGGCTGGGGGGCGGGACGGGCGTGGCCACGCGGGACGTTGCGGGGCCCGGGCACTGCAGCCGGGTGCAGGGGGAATGCGGCCCCGCGCCTGGCGCCGCGTGAAAGCGGCCCGCGGGCTTGTCCGAGCCGGAGAAGCGAGGGCTCATTAAAGACCCTGAGGGAGAGGGCGGGGCCAGGGTTCCCGACGGCTGGCGTGGTCATCTCCACGG